ATGGGCTGAATTGCACAAAACGCATGATCGCACCGGCTAGTCTGGTGCGCGTTGCTATTTATTTGTCTTAATCATTGAAATTCACTGTGGTTGAAGGCTGGCTGAAACGATCGTAGAGTTTGATATTATTTTCAGGAAAGCGCGATGAAAGAAGGCGCGAAAAAAAGAGAGCAAAGAGGAATCGCCAGAAGGAACGTAAAGAGAAGAAAAAAGCTTCTAAAGCGAAGAAAACTAAAAGTTCCGGTGCTGATAAATTGGACGAAGAAGAAGTTGAAGAAGCAATCAAGAAAGTCCAAAAAGATTGGGATGAAGCGGAAGAAAGCATAAAACTGGTATGACTTGTTTTTCTTGCGAAATTTCAGTGCTTTCTCGTTTTAATTTGCCAGAATTCCTTATGAGAAATGGTTCTAGGCGAGAGTTCTGTCCCTGAAGTCTATGCGTTTGTGGAAATTTTATAGCTTGCATAGTTTCAGGGTGATCGGAAACGTCGTTACCACGCACATTACGACGTGAATGCGCCAACAGAAGCAGAGATGGAAGCGTACAAGCGGACGCGGATTCATGCCAGTGACCCAATGGCCGCATATATGAATGAAAAACGCCGAAAAAAACCTTCAGAAAAAGATTGACCGGTTTTTTGTGTACAATATTTGACCGTTTTAGCATACCAGTTGTCCAAGCAGTTTTGGTAAAATAGGTGATTTTGGTAATTTAGCCCTGTGGCTTGTTCATTTTGCATGGCTGAGTTTTACAAATGGCGATTTTTTTTGCTGTTTTTAGTATATGAATGATTGATTCGGTAGCTATTCAGGAGTTACTAGAAGTACACTTTCGATGCTTTGAAAAGTTAATTGTACGAGTTGCTGACGATGAATTACCTGGACGAAACCAACTTGATATGGGCTTTCGTTATTCATTTTTTTTTCCGAGCTCTGTATCAGAACTTGTCGCAAACGGAATGTTTGAAATCATCTTTCTTTAGTTGTTTTTCATGAAAATTTTCATAATATTCCCTCATCCTTATTAGTTCCTTGGACTTCCAACACATCCACTAGCTTCCTGTAGTTTCTTACTATTTCCTTAGTTCCGTTGCTTTTTTTATGCTAGACTTATATTAGCCGGAACTGCCAATTTTTGCCTCTTTTTAGAAATTCCAAATGCGTCGTTCTGATTTGGAAGTTTTCGAGTCTACAGAAGTTGACCTCAGAAATGAGGAATTTTTTCTACTTTCCTCAGAAATGAGGAATTAAGCAGGGAATTTTTACAAAGCTCTTTGTTCTTATAATGTGCAATGTGAAGGGGGTTTTTTTTTAACTCGATCACAAGGATACTGTGATGATTTTCATGGATTATTGAAATGCCACGGATAAGCTGGAATTTTCGATGCATCTGCAGCTCTGTTGCTGCGTTATGTTCAGCTGTTGCAGTAATCCAAATGTTCAGAGATGCGTTGACTCTTTTATAAGCATAGATTTGTTAATATTGAAATAAAACATTCGTGAAAAAGAGAAAATTGCTACATTAAAATCTCTTCTTTTGTAATTGATCGTTTTTTTCACGATTTTCTCATAATTTTTTTCAAGATTTTCTTGTAATTTCTCTCACAATTTTCTTATAATTTTTTTCGCGGTTTTTTAACGATTTTTACGGTTTTTTGCCAGAAACCTAGACCGTCTGGACAGTGGGTCTGGTTTATTCCTTCCTGGAGATGTTTCTGGGATGCTCCTATACGCTGGAGGTGGATGAGACAAGCTGTTCTGAACCCATATCTTCGGCTCGTTTTATGTGCACAACTTTTGTAATTCCTTTATTTTTGCATAATTTCTGCATGTTACTTTGTATCATCTTTATTTGATTGTGGGCTTATTTTGGGAAAATAGTCTTTTCGGTTGGAAATTTGCCAACTACACACCAGTTTCTCTCCCCGATTTGTTTCTTGTACAGCTAGCAGATTTAAGGAATTGAGCATTTGTCTCAAAATTGCTTGGGCAAATGGTCTATTCGGTTAGAAATTTGCCAACTACAAACGAGTCCCTCTCCGATTTTTTTCTAGTATAGCTAGCACATTTAAGGAATTGAGCATTTGTCTGAAAATTGCTGTTGGAAAAGAAGTTTATTGTCAGAATGTCACGTGGTTGCAGTTGTCAAAGCTTCAACACATTGGCACCGCTCCTAAGAGCCTTCCTCCTCACGGAGGTTCATTTGCGGAGCTGTTTCAGTTGAATTGTGTATGTTGTATAATATCATTTTGTATGGATTAAGATGTAGTTGTGATGAATTTTGCTTGGTACAAAGTTTTCGTGTTGTACGTTGTGCTGCGCTGATAATGCATTCAGCCTATCATTATCTGGCATAATTCTAGCGGCGCCTCATTCTAGTGTCTTTAGATTGAACAGTCAGATTCTCCAGTAGATTGGCTGCGTGCAGGATATCATTACGACCATGCAAGGAACTGTTAAGATTCGGTGGGAAGGGAATTTGTTTGCGCATTCAACTTATTATCTGGCATAATTCTAGCGGCGCCTCATTCTAGTGTCTTTAGATTGAACAGTCAGATTCTTTGGCAGATGAGCGGCGTGCAGGATATCATTGCGGCTATACAAGGAACTGTTAAGATTCGGTGGGAAGGGCATATTTTTCGCCTTGCCGATAACCAGTGAGCGTCGGTTATTAATGAGTGGTATCCACGAAAAAGTAATGAACGTTCAGGTGACCTCAGGAGAGATGGCCATGTATGTGGAGCCCAAGATTGAAGATTTTGGCATAGCTGCGCTTGATGTTTAGGAGCATCCTAGTAAAATTACTAATATAGGACCTGTACGATGAGAACCCAGGGGTTCTGGTATTCTAGTGCCAGTGAAGTTTTGAGGGTTTAATTCATTTTTGTTCCGGTTTACAGCCTGATTTTACCCGGTGATATATATTATCGAACAGTGGAAACGATGCTTTGAGTTGACGCTACCGAACATTTCGTGTGAGAAACGAAGAATCGATCTCCAGCAATCCTGTGCCATACGCATGATCCAGAGATTCTCTATCTGGAATGGTCGATAGTAAGTTTTTCAGTGGATTTCTGTAACCAATACTGCAACGAATGTAACGAATGCAGGGATAGTGTAAATTTACTGTAATTTAGTGTCTTTCGTATAATTTATTTACAAGAATTCGAATATATGTCTATATTTGAGGTCAAATGGAAAAAAATTTTGTTGAAAAATGTAAGAATGATTGATAGAAAAGGTAAAAAGGGTAAAAAAAGGGGATGATGTAAAAAAGAAGTATTAAATTAGGTAAGAAATGTTTCGGTCCATTAAGTTGTATACATTTCTTACCGTTACCACAATTGAACCTCGTCAGTACGACGACTTTTTTGGATGCTTATATGCATGCTTTGTGAGAGGAGGAATTTTTTTCATACAGATTCATGAAAGTAAAGCGAGGCGAAATTTGAGTTTGGAAATTAAAATAGCCAAAGTTTGGAAGACAAATTTTTTGGACAGATATATACCCCTTTTTCCATGTAATATTTTTTCAGTTGGTAGTACTGTTTTATACGATTTAACACAAGCTCTTCAAATGCATGGTGAATAAGAGGCTGTACTGATGATTCCCACCCTTACGCGCATGCTGCGTCTGGTCTGTGTTCACAGCTAAGAAAGTCGAAAATTCCGAGAGGCCATTTCTCCAGGTTGAAAAAATGCCGAATATCCCAAGAATCATTTTTAAGTAGAAAAATTTGAGAATTTTTTAGTAATTTTTTCTAAATTCCTTCATTTTGTCAGCTCTGAATTTAATAATTTAGTTCAAACACAGCTGTGGATGTGGGATCGAGATGTGACATTTTTCATTGTTTCAAATGCAGCAGCCCTGGATTCGCAGAACCAGTTACGCTTCACTTTCTTGTGCATGGAATGGTCGATGCATGGCGCTCTTTGGCTTATTGCCAGGTACTTCATTTTCTCTACTTTTATCGATGTACAGATGTATTTGGTAAAAAATATGAAATTAGCATGCATAACTTTCCAGGTTGTTCGGAAATTTTGAAAAATTTCTTCCAAAAATCAAAACTCTTCCAAAATTTCCTCGCCATGAGCTACAGGAGGCACATGGAACTTACCGAAGTGATCACCGTTTCCTCACTTACGTTGTCGGGTCCACTGGGGTATCCAAGGGAAGGGGAGCGGTAGATGCCCCCCTCTCTCCCTGCCCCACCCTTTCCCCTCCAACGGCACAGGTAGCAACTGTTTTACTGTAGAAAACTCTCTTCGATATCCCCTGTCACCCCTCCCTTTCCGCCAAGAGGCCCATTTTCTTCCCTCCACCTTCCCCCTCCTCCCTTTCCTGCCCGCCTCCCAGGAAGCCGTCCTGAATCCACCTATACTCACATCTAAATCACTTTGATGTGTATTATCGACTAGCCAACTGAAGTACTGATGTTTTTATGAATTTCTCATTTCCAATTTTTTTATATTTTTTGGTTTTTAATTTTTGCATATTTGGCTTACAGTTTCTCCGTTAGAAACCAGTTTTGGCTCAAATGAAATTTCGCTTGATATTTTAGAATGGTTGGAAAAATCTTTTTTTTTTTTTGCATTTTTGGTGTTTTTGTAGAAACTTATTTGGTAATTTTTCGTGATACTATTTACGCTATCTTTGATTTTCAAATTTTTAGTCATTTATGGTCATTTATAACAGACATGATGTTTACAGTTCGCTAGCATTTTTGGTCGCTGTTCGGTGGGATTTCTCAATGAACATTATCTATGGTTTAGCTGTGTTATTGTTTGGTATGTGTGAAGATTTTTTTTTTATTCTTGCATCTAAAAGCTTCCATTAACTTGTTATTTTGATAATTTGGTCTGTAAGCTCATAGTCAAGTGCCAGCATCCGAGACAAAGTGACCAAGCTCATCATAAAACGAGAACGCCTTGAAACGACTAAAGCTTTGCCAAATGTTGCTGTTCTGAGAATAGCTGAATTGTCAGCTGAGTGTCTTCTCGCCCTTGCGAGACTTGGTATATGCCAGTCCAAGTGATCCCTGTGATCCGCTGTTCCACTCGCTCATAGTGTTGGGCAATTGAATAAACTGCCTTTTCTGATTTTAACCCAATTTTGCATCTCTCACACAAGGTTCCTGTCGGCGATACCGAGGATGCACTTTAGTGATGATGTGTGATAAGATATTTGCTGAGAATTGTGGCAGCGTTTATCGCCGCCATTATCTTAATAGCTTTCGTTTTTTGTATTTGGAGATGCTTTTTGGTTTTCGCATCTCAATTTTTGTGTGTTTTCGGAGATTGTAAAATTAAGATAGAACGATCCAAACCCCGATCGCTCCGTCTTTGATTCATTCTGGAAATTTCAACTGAAGGAAGCGGGCTGGCGGCGAGTGCGGTCCTCCACGACTCCGATTCTCCTACGCGTCTCCGGTCCTTCATCGCGGTTTCAATTCCCTTCCGCCAAGTTTCTCGGATCCTTCCCGCATGGAAATTACTGCGGTCCGTGTATCGAGTCTCTAGTATCCAGTCACGACTCTTTTCGGCAGGTCCTCTAACTCTGTCGATCTGAACTACCTACCAGAAAGAAAACTTCCCGACAGTTCCTTCGATTCACCAAAATACCTATATGC